ACACTCCCAAACAAAGAACACAAACAAAAAGCCTTACCCCCCCCCCCCCCCAGATTTGAAAGTATCTTGTCCCCTTATTGGTCCTTTAGGTCAGATGCCAGCCAGGTTACCTGAGCTTCTTAACCCTTTACAAGGAAAAGGATTTTGGAGTCTCTGGCCAGGAGGGATTTTATAGTACTGTAAACAGGACAGCTGTTACCCTTCCCTTTATAGTTATGACACCTTGCTACATCGTCTCTATATAAATGAATACTACAAGGGTCCTCTAGTGGCCTAATGTTCCAGAGACGCTGGGCAACTTCAGCTCCCATTTATGATTGATTCAATGGAAGCTGATGATGCTTAGTGACTCTGAAAATTAAGCAATAGGTATCTGTCTCTCAATTTTTTCCCCTGTCAATATTTGTGCCATTGTTTTGATAAGGAAAGAAGTTAGACTTTGGGGAGAGCAGTTACCAGCATGCTCTACTTATAGTTTTCCATGCTCGCTCACTGGGTCATAACTAAAATTGAGATTATAAACTATGTGTGGCAGAGACTGTTTTCTGCCAAGCCTCCTATAGCCTTTTGGGCACTGGCAAATTATAAATCAATGAACCATAATAAAGTGTGAGAGGTAAAACAAAATTGTTCGTTAATTTCCTTGATGTCTTAGAATATAGTAATCTAAATCAGCTCACTGGTTCTGTTTGAGTTTTTCCTCTCAAAAGCGACTTTTATCTAAGCATCTAAATTTCTACTCTCTTATTTTGAAAACAGATTTTTAAAGTAAGGAGTTATTCAGCTATTTGTAAATATAATTTTATCCCTTTCTTCATTTATTAATGGATCTTCTTTCTTTGGATCACTTTCTCATTCATATATTTATAAAAACCTTTTTATTTCCATTAGCCTTATTATAAAGTTACTCATTCTATCTCCACATTAACTACTGAAGCTTACCACCACTTCCTTTGCATTTTTTAAAAAAGTTGCTGCAATACAATGGCAATAATGGCCACTTGAAACCTTTGCAATATTTTTGGTTAAAATACATCTCTACTAACCCAAGTTAAGAACATAAGAGCTGCCATATTGGGTCAGACCGTGGTTTATCTTTCCCAGTATCCTGCCCATACCAGAGATTTAAGGGAAGCATACAAAACAGAGCGATTATGGAGTGATCCACATGTGTCTCTTACTCTTGGTTTATGGTAGTCAGAAGTTTAGGATTGCCCTGAGCATGGGTTCTGTCCCTGAGCACCTTGGCTAATGGCCATTGATGGACCTATCCTCCATTAATATATTCAGTTCTTTTTTTAACCCAGTTATACCTTTAGCCATCATAACATCCCACAGCAACGTGTGTTGTGTGAAAAAGTACTTCCTCTTGTTTGTATTAAGCCTTCTGCCTGTTAATATCATTGGGTGACCCATGTTTTTTGTATTGTGGGAAAGAGGTAAGTAACAGTCCTCTATTCACTTTTTCCACACCATTCACAATGTTATAGCCTTCTATCATATCCCCCCTTAGTCATCTCTTTCTAAGTTGAACAGTCCTAATCTTTTTAGTGTCTCCTTGTATGAAAGCCTTTCCATATCCTTGACCATCTTTGTTGCCCTTCTCTGAACCTTTTCTTGTTCCACTATATCCTCTGAGATGGGGAGACCATAACTGGACACAGTATTCAAAGTGTAGGAGCACTATGGATTTATATAGTGACATTATATTTATGGATTTAGATAGTGACATTATGTATTGTTAGCATTTTTGACTGCTGCCGTGCATTGAGCTGAAGTTTTTAGAGAACTATCCATGGTGACTCCAAGTTCTAAATTAGCTATTACCACTCAAGAAAGCGAATTTACCATTATATTAATTATATTATATTATATTATATTATATTATATTATATTATATTATATTATATTATATTAAAGAAAGAAAGAAAGAAAGAAAGAAAGAAAGAAAGAAAGAAAGAAAGAAAGAAAGAAAGTTGGGATTATTTTTTCCGCAATGTGCATTACTTTGTACTTATCAATGCTGAGTTTCATTTGCCATTGTGCTGCTCAGTCACCCAGTTTTGTGAGATCCCTCTGTAACAACAACTTGTTCTCTGCTTTGGATTTAACTATCTTGAATAATTTGGTATTGTCTGCAAACTTCACTACTTCATTATTCATTCCCTTTTTCAGCTCATTAATTAATATGTTGAACAGCACCAGTCCTAGAATAGATTTTTTGGGGACCCCACTGATCCCCTCTCCATTGTGAAAACTCACCAATTATTCCTATCCTTTGTTTCCTATCTTTTAACCAGTTACTGATCCATGAGAGGACCTTCCCTCTTATCCTATGGCTACTTGGTTTTCTTAAGAGCCTTTGATGTGGGACCTTGCAAAAGTTTTCCAAAAATCCAAGTACACAATCTCAAGTAGATCATCCTTATCCACATGCCTGTTGACTCCCTCAAAGTCTAATAAACTGATGGGGCTTGACTTCCCTTTACAAAAGCCACGTTGACTCTTTCCCCCCCAAAATCATATTTACCTAGGTATCTGTTCTTTACTGTAATTTCCACCAATTTGCCTGGTACTGAAGTTAGGCTCATTGGCCTGCAATTGCCAGGATCTCCTCTTGAGCTCTTTTTAAAAAGCAGCGCTTCATTAGCTACCTTCTAGTCATATGGTACACAGGCTGATTTCAGTGATGGGTTACATACTACAGTTAGTAGCTCTGCAATTTCATATTCAAGTTCCTTCAGAACTCTTAGGTGAATGCCAAATGGTCACTGCGACTTATTAAAGTTAAATTTATCCATTTGTTCTAAAACCTCTTCTACTAACACATCAATTTAGGACAATACTTTAGATTTGTTGCCCAAAAAGAAATGCTCTAATGTGGCTGTCTCCCCCACATCCTCTGCAGTGAAGACCAATGCAAGTAATTAATTTAGCTTGTCTGTAATGGCTTGCTTTCCTTGGGACCTCCTTTGTCACTAGTGGCCCCGCTGCCTGCTTGACAGACTTCCTGCTTCTGATGTACTATAAATATTTTTTTTGTTAGTTTTTGTTAGGTTTTGTTTCTTCAATAAGTTGCTTCTCATATTTTTTCTTGTCCTGCCTTATTATACTTAACCTACCAAAGTTTTTGCTCCTTCCTATTTTCTGCATTAGGATTTGACTTCCAAATTTTAAAGGACTCCTTTTTACCTGTAACAGCCTCTATTACTTTGCTGTTTAACTATGGTGACATTCTTTTGGTTCCCCTACTTGTTTCTGTGATTTAGTCTGGGTCTCTATTATGTTTTTTTTAAGTGGTCTCCATGCTGCCTGCAGGCATTTTACCTTTGTGACGGCTCTTTTTAATTTCTGCCTAACTAGTGTTCTCATTTTTTGTGTCATTTCCCTTTTTGAAGTTAAATGTTACTGTGCTGGGGTTATTTTGCCATGTGTTTTACTCCCTCCAAAGACACTAAATTTAATTCAATTATGGTCATTATTACCAAACAGTTCAGCTATCGTTACATCATGTACAGATACTGTGCTCCATTTACGACTAAATCACAAATTGCCTCTCTCCCCTAGTGGATTCCAAGAAGCAGCTCCAAGAAGCAGTCATTTATGGTGTCTAGAAATTACTCTGTGTACCATGCCCTAAGGTGACATATATTCAGTTAATATGAGGATAGTCGAAATCACCCATTATCATTTCGTTTTCTGGTTTTGTAGCCTCTCTAACCTCCCTTAACATTTCACCATCATTATCAGGTGATCAGTTGCATATTTCACCACCACCAACACTGGAGCTAATTATTATTAATTAACAAATTAGTAAACTCTTAGTTGTATACACCCCTCAATTAGCAAAGTTTACCACCCATGAGATTTAGCCAAGCTATTCATATTATCAGTTTATATTCAATATAGTCTCATTCTGACAAACTTATTACTGCAGTTCTTTCTAAATTACTATGCAAGTGGCATTTACATCCTGTCATTGCATACAAAAATTTAAAACTGCTACATATTACTGAAATGTTAAAAAATATCAGTATTAAATGTTGGCATACCAGAGCTGCCATTGCCCAGCCAGTCTTGTTGTAGATGAACTCCAAGTTATTTCTTCGCAAGTACAGCAAGCCACCAACAAGTGACACTAAAAGAGCCAGTGCAATAGTGCCTGAATAGTTCGGAGGCCTGAATACCCTAATCTGTGGGGGGAGGAGGGGAGAAAACAAAAATATCAATTATTCTTTCACTTTGTGAGAAACAGAAGTGATGCAATATTACACACACACACACACAGAGTAGTAATAACCCAATATCTACTACTGAATGCACAGTATTCTTTATGTTAAGGATGCTCTTGTACAGATAATAAGTACTGATGATAGGGAATATTGCTAACACTGTCACACAACTGGGACTTAATATCTGACAGACTGGGGAGAACCCATCCCCTTTCCTTTTTCCTGCCCCCCCCCCCCCCTTTGCCCTCAGATGAGTGGAGGGCAGTAGGGTCTCAGTAATTGGCTGGATCCAAGCGGGGACGGTAAGCGCTGATGGCAGTCTTCCCAAATAGGTGGAAGTGATTAAGGAAAAAAAGATCACCTGCACTGCATGAGTTATTGCCGGGTATTCCCAGATTTAAGTGAATAAAGCTGTGGCCTAATTAAACCACATCCACTGTATCTTGTCTGTCTGAGAACAGTCCCTTTGCATGTGACTGAACTGGGAATTTAAGCAGTATGTTTCTTTATTATTTTAGAAAGTTTTTGATTTCATCTTTAAAGAACAATTGTATATAATATTCAACTATATAAAAATAATTAAATACGTTTCCTCCACATGTTTGCAGATTATTATGTCTCTGCCATTATTTTGGCATAAAACACTTTGGAAACTTCAGACTTTGTTTTCTAAGTAACATTGCCAATACACTCACATTTATCAACTAATTGTCACAATACTATCACTCATTTTGTGCTAGAATAAGACTGGATGAAAATATAACTTCCAAACCAAGACTGAAATGCAACATTCAAATTGCTGAAGTTACCACAGTGCGCTCAAGTATCGCAGCTCATATTTGTATTATTTTAACCTATTTTTGTGGATTTCATTTGATAAATAAACATACGTGAGGGGAAAAACAGTGCTTGGTGTCAGTTCATCATACTGTAGGCAGATTAAGTTTGGATCAGTCTTAACGTTGTCAAATGACTTACATGGACATCCGTTCTATCAGCTATCCATTTAGCTAGCTGCTCTGCTGCAAATCCTATTCTCTGCAGGTCGAAGGTGTCAGCCCTCTTGGGTTTACCTTTCGGAGGAAAATGCATGAATGTCGGAGCAGAGTTCATATTGAGCTACAAAAAACAGAAGGCACCACAATATTAAATAACTCAAATATGCTTTGTGCAACTGTTTGCCTTCTTCCTACCATAGACACTGGCAAGATACTATTAGTCAGAAAAATATTAGTGGCTTTCCAAAGTTTGAAATTACTATTTTCAATCATTTAAATATATTTTTCTATTACTAAAAAAGTGCTCAGAGCTAACATTCCTTCAGTTTCTTCAATTGGGCTTTTTAAGGCACAGTAGTCATTACATAAACCATATTTCAATTTTAAGCATTCCTTTGTTGAGTATTTTTCCTAAGATGCTCATTTATGCTGCTACATAACTAGCAAAGCAGCATCTTTAAAAATATTGTTTATATTACACAAAGTCACAAGACTTAAATTACATCCCAATCTTGAAAAAAACTTAAGCACATACTTAAAAGGTTAAATGCTATGTGGATTATGTGGATGACCTGAGGAGGTTGTGAAGGCTAGGACTATAACAGCATTTAAAAAAGAACTGGATAAATTCCTGGAGGTTAAGTCCATTAATGGCTATTAGCCACGATTGGTAAGGAATGGTGTCCCTAGCCTCTGTTTGTCAGGGGGTGGTGATGGATGGCAGGAAAAAGATCACTTGATCATTACCTGTTAGGTTCACTCTCTCTGGGGCACCTGGCATTGGCCACTGTCAGTAGACAGTATACTGGGCTAGATGGACCTTTGGTCTAACCCAGTACGGCTGTTCTTATGTTCTTATGTTAATGTGACTACTCACACTGTGTAAAGTTAAGCATACATGTAAATCTTTAGAGCACTGGGGTCTTAAATATTAATTCATCCAGTGAACGTTCCCAATATTGTCAATTTGAAAACAAACAGAAAATAGTGACAGGCCCCCCTGCTGGACATTCTTGGTGAAAAAAATATTCCCCAGCAAGGTGAACAGGACAGGGAAATATATTTTAGTATATGAAACATCTCATATTTTAGCGTATGAAACTTTCTGGATTTCAGAAAATAATAATGCAATACATTTATCAAGTGATTTGAAATTAAATATAAAATTATCATTGGAAAATATTGAAATGATTAAATATGAATGAAATTATTTGAGTTCTCTAATGATACAAGGGCAGTGCCATTTTATTTACCTGCCTTGCTTGCTGCTCTCCAACAAAATCAATGTTATTAAGTTACATAAATGCTTTAGTTAAACATCAAATACACAGTTCAATTTATAATTTATGAAAAATAAACTAGATACTAAAATATTATTTTCTTCTAAATACAATATGCCCCATCCTTTAATGAACAACTGTTAAAGAAAAATATGTTTGTGAACTGTGTTAAGAAGATTGTTGTAAAACAGTTGAATTTAGTGGGATACTCAGATATAGAAATCTTCTGTCAGGTTTTTTTTTTTTAAAGACTGCTGACAGCCTAGTTGCACCAGACTTACAATTGGTTTCCCATTTCTATATAATCAGAATGAAAGGTGAAATCAAATCAACTGACATGCTTTTATGTCAACTCTGAACCAGTATACAGCAACTGCAGCAGTAGCTTAGCTACCAGTATTACAGTCAAGAATTAAATCTCCTGTGCTATTATAATTAGTTCAGATGTCCACTGTCTTGTTACATTTGCCTATATAAACTCTGACAAAAATAATATTTCTTCAAAAACCTACTGGACAATATGCTCACTTGTTAGTTCCTCTTATTTTCACAGATATCCAAAATAGCTGGAGTTCTCAAAGACAATGAACAAAATACAGTGTAGACATAAGCAAGTGTAAGTCCACTGACATAAATGGAGTTGTATCTCTTTACACCAGAATGAATTGGGCCAAATGCATCTACTGAATATAATTTGCTCTGTGTGTGTGTGCAAAAATACATATTTGAACTAAAAATAAAAAGCAAAATTTGGAGAGAGCATGTTATTTCTATACAATGTGGTCCAACTGTTCTGTTGGAAAATCATCCAAGCTTTACTGTGTATTGTTTAAACACTGTAGATCTGCTTTTTTGCTTCACAGTTTAATATCTCACAATTCACCAAAAGGGAGTAAAAATGGTTAGTAACTTCTACTGCTTCTTGCTTTTATTAATTCATCTTCTAGTGCCAAGCAGGGGGCTAAGCTTCAAAGAGAAAAAAATATTTTGCTTTCTGGAATTATGATTCAAGTTGAACTTCAGTTGAGTACCCAAACCAAAGTGAATTTGCGGGACTAGCGTATTTGCTAATAATTGGTTCTCCACACTGTAAAGCAACCATAGCTATTTACAAGAGTCCCAAGACTGATTATTCTACAAAGATAAAAAGGGTATTAAACATTTAATTGAAGTCTTCATGTAAGGTGATACTTATTAAGTACTTTTTTATGTCAAAAGAACCTATGGGAAAGTTTAGCTACGACTGTGATTTTCACTGCACTTCACATAATTTTGGAGTCAATTTGTTTTACAATGTCCAATGGAAGCAACTACCAATACATTAACAATGGCTTGATAAACTTCACTTAAACTTGATATAACTGAAAACTAATATGGTAGACTACATATGACGTAGCAAAATTGGCCATTTTGCATTTTTGGTGTTTCCTGCTATAGCTACCAAGGGGTGCATTATAGAAATTCCTGTGACTAACCACAGTTTTCCAGACTTTTTCCCCCACTATAATTCTTTATTATATTATCTAACAGAAAAACCCCACAGTACTTAAAATATGTGATATATATTAAACAAAGTTAAAAGGACATCATTCAACACCTTTTACCTGTTGAAAAACATCTGCCCCTTCATCATAATCCACTATAGTGAAGAATAATTTATTAGAAAAAGCAGATGAGTAGCGCCATGAGTTGGCCAGCACTTGATATTCTTCATTAGCTTGCCTGTTAGGGAAAAAGGCATAGATACAGATAAAAAATATATAGATATCTGTATGTAATTGACTACCAGTAAAGATTCTATAACCATTTGTAACGATTGCAGTCCAAACAGAGGGATTAACTAAAACTGTAGCAAACACATTCTCAATTCTCTACCAAAAAAGATTTTGGCTGGTATGGCCTGGCGGTGGTGGATTCTTGTTGTTGGTTTGTTTTTCCAGAATTACAATTAATTTATAATGGGTGAGGTAATATCTTTTATTGGATCAGCTTCTGCTGGTGAGAGAGAAAAGCTTTCGAGCCACACAGAGCTGTTCTTCAGTTCTGGTACTCTGAGCATCACAGCAAAATGGTCCAATAAAAGATATTACATCACCCACATTGTCTCGCTAATATCCTGGGACCGACACAGTTACAACTACATTGCATGCAGTTAATTTATAATGGCTATCTAAGCAACAAAACTCACAAACAAAATACTAATGAAATGGGTTTTAACATTTTTAACATAAAAAGCTTTACAAAAAGTGTAAGTTAAATGCTCCTATAGTTTGTGCTGGAAAATATGGCCCCAAACCTGCAAATTGATTCATGTAGAGAGACACCCTTGTGGCAATGCAGATCCAGTATCAGGATTTATATGCTAAAAACTGCTCCAAATAAGCATTGATTCAGATGAGTAGAACATTGAGCTATACACCAGGGGTGGCCAAACTGTGGGTCGAGAGCCACATGCAGCTCTTTTATTGTTGAAGTGCGGCTCATGTAGCCCCCTCCCACCTCCACCTACCAGACTCGGGGGTGGGGGAGCTCAGGACTTCTGCCTTGCAATGGGGTGGTGGGGTTGGGGCTTCTGCCCAGCAGGGAGGGAGGTCTTGGGACTTCAACTCTGTGGGGCGCACCTGCTGAGCCTCGGGGCTTCAGCAGAAGTAGAGCTGAATCCCCGAGCCGCATCAGGAGCCTTCTGCAGGGATGCAGCCCTGAGTCTGGGCAGGTGTGTCCCGGTTGTTGAATTTGTGAAGATTGTTGTATGCAGCTTGGAGGGTCAGTAAGTTTGGCCACCCCTGCTATATACCAATGTAACATTACTCCTAAAACAAAGGATACATGGAAAGAGCTCTGTCAATACTACACTGAAAATTGTTGTGCCACAAAAGGAGTGGTAGTGGCAGATCTAAAGTGGGTGGAGTTGCCAATAACATCCCTATTCAACATTCTTTCCTTCAAAAATATTTAAAAACCAACACAAAATATAGTTTTTTGCAGTCTGTAGTAATTTCTATCAGCATTAGAAAGTCACATTCCTCCCCCCTCCCTCCAGCAGGCTCCCTACTCCCAAACCTCAAGGAAGAGCCAGAGAGAAAAATAATGCAGCATGACACTACATTATCTTTTGCACTCCTCCCTCTTGGTGCTCAGAAAATTACTTTTAAAGGAAGATTCGGAGAGAGAGGGGTTGAGGGGATGAGAGAACTGCATTACCAGTGAAGAAGTTATCTGCATGAATAGCCCTGGAACCACATAGACTTGGAGGCAAAACAACTGTATAATTTACCAGGGGGCATCTCAAAGTCATTGAGGGGATCTTTGTGGAGATTTCCACCCCACAGAGCTCCGTCTGTGGCTATTTCAATATTTTCTATTAATTATTTATATTACAGAGACCTGGCCTTTATCTACCTGTCTTTTCAGATGGAGGGATACAAAAATAGTATGAACACATTGTTTTTAAAACTTCTCACAAAAGGATTTTTTTGTAAAGCATGTTGCATGTACATTACGGCGTGGTATACAGGTATTAAAAGCAACTATTTGGCTACTCCTGCAACCCTTGTCTATGATTTGAGTTACAATGAATATAGGCAGATATATATGAGAAGGAAGAAAAGGGAGGCAGGTATAAGCAGTCTTTCATAAAAAAGTGTTGAAAGCATGCTTATTCTTCTCATTAAAAACAAGCCATAATACTGAAGTCAATGCCACCTCAGCACACAGCACTTCTGGAGCTGTGTGTACCAAGAGAAATAACATGCATGGGCAAATGCACCACTATAAAAAATAAAAAGTGAAACTTGATCATCCATTTAAGTCAATCTCACGTGCAGTACAATGAAAACTTAACTTTTATCCTTGTCAACTATTTTTTTTTAATCCCATTTGGTAAACTAGATTTGAAAGTACAGAAAATGTTATTTGGTAATTTCTAGAGTTTGGTATTTCTCACTGAAATAGGCTAACATGTTCATTGGCATCCTGAAGAGGGCAGTCAAGCAGCATCAAATGACTGCTGCAAATGCTTAAGTAATAACTATAGGGCACTGTTCTGTTAAACCTGTTATATTAAAACCTTACCATTTTTATTATAAGAATAAGATGATAACATCATTTCATCTTGATGCTATCATTCACCTTATTCTACCCTTTCATATTTGTTATATTTATGTAAAATCATAAAAGAATTATAAATAATAGTTATGCCTCTACTAGTCAATAAGTTTCTTAATTTGTCCCCATCTTTGTATACTTTGCATCTTTAAATTAAATCAGTTTCCAATTTATTTAATGGATATCTGTCTTTTCAGAAGAGAGCTTAGCTTCTAAGTTTTGTTGTTGCTGTTTTTGTTTTCACGTGTCTACTTGCACGTTCTGCAACAGAGTGGTTTTGGAACACAATTTTTAGAACTTACTGAAGGTAACTTAGCAAAGTATTCTGTAAGACTTCTCTAGAGCAGCTTTTATAAAGACACTGACAAGGCATTCTGTAAAGAGCAAAAGTGGGTAAAATTCAAATATTTGCATTTCAATACTGAAGCTAGCTCTTAATTCAACTGGTGAGCAGGTGGCTGAAAAACTATAACTGTCTCTCTTTTGAAACCAATGGGACTACTCCTAGTACATGAAGTTACGCATGCACACAGGTCCTTGAAGGACCGGTGTCTAATTATAGACAACACAGAAGTGGGCATAACAAATAATGGAAAGGTCTGGAGAAGGAAGGATGAGATGAACGGTGATAGGTTCATACAATTTGTTACCTGGTCTAACTATGTACACAATCAGATAGCATCACATCATTCTTATTACAATACATAATATCTCCATAATCCATCATGTCTCTCTATCTACTTAGACAGATGTCATTTATTGCATCACTGCTAACAGCCTTCTGAAGTGATTGGCAACACCTATCTGGACTCTGATAAATACTAGGCAACATTGTTCTAGAAATGGTAGTTCTCTAGGAGGGGATTGTATCTCAGGTGCAAAAAAAAAATCCATCTTTTATTTATTATTATTATTTTTTTAAATTGGAGTCTTTTACTACTGAAAAGGCTATAGATACAGCCATCGTCTTCCAACTAGTTGTGTGAGCTGCTATGAAGAAGTATGGGAGGAACTGTATTTGGTCTTGGCATGAAAGGACTGCATGATCAGACTAGAAATAGACACTAATGCTGCTAGTTTGGCATTACTTTTTCATCAGGCTGAGCCAGAAAGGAGAATAGAGTATCTAAGAGCACAAATAGCATTACTGTTACTACCACCATTTAAGAGTTTAGGCAGAGATGGTAGCACTGCAGTACCAGCAATGGCAGCAGTATTATCTACCAGTGAGAGATGCAGAGACCAGGTTAGATGACACAGTGCCATCTAAACATTGTTTACCTAGGATATTCAGTATTTTTACAATAGTCATTGTTGGTACAAGGTTGTTTCCTTTCCTGCATGACACATGCTTAACACATTAAATTATGGGTTTGATATTTCCAGCAAACCAGATTAACTAAATAAGCCTCATCTATGATTGGTTTTCTCTCCAGAGCTTATGAACAGCTGTAATTGCCAGCAGTTACAAGACACCATACAGCTCTTTATAAGAAGGCACATTTATTCTTAAGATAAAAACATTAGAGAAAATCTTACAAACAAAAAAAAAACCTACACACAAACAAAAAGCTTACCAGAGGTCATAAGAACATAAGAAAGGACATACCGGGTCAGACCAAAGGTCCATCTAGCCCAGTATCCTGTCTACCGACAGTGGCCAATGCCAGGTGCCCCAGAGGGAGTGAACCTAACAGGCAATGATCAAGTGATCTCTCTCCTGCCATCCACTAACTGCCAGAACACTAACAAGACCTTAGTAAATACTACAACACTAACAAGGCCTTAGTAGAGGTCAGTCTTTCAAACCCCTCAAAGGGTTTTTTTCCCCTGTGGTTGCAAGTTTGTAACAGTGTTAGCTCAGAACTCCCACAACCAGGAATAACTCAGTCTTTCCTTTATGCAGATTGGGCCTTTGATATTGGCCTCATATAACAGGTGATCAGGAGACAAAGGAGTGCTCCTCAGTGCATAGCTTCAGAAGGATATTTTTTTTTGTAACTGGAGGTAGGGAATTTGCATTCATCTCCTCCTACATATTTCCCAGGAAATTTACTTTATACGTATCATCCCAAAAATCCACTCTTGTCTGGCACATTGTTCAATAGTGTTTTGATCATGTAGGCCTTACATTACATTTCCTTACATTGGAGAGGTTACATACAATCCCAGCCCACAATAATACATAATATTTGCATTTAATACAATGAATTCCCAAATATATTTAAACCTAATAAGTTTTCTCAAGGATATTACAGGAAATTGCCGTATCTGTTACAAGGGGTTTTGTTAAACAGAATCAATTCAGCAAAGAGGAGGGTTTTCTTTGTGTATGTGTCTACGTGACTAATCTCATTTGTATCGCTTTAGCTCTATTTGGTTTTCTGAAGGTGAAAATAGGTGCAGAACTAGAGAAAATTAGCTTATTATAATGCTTCAGTAAGGACTTGTCTACAATTAAGACTCTACAGTGACACACCTGTAGCACTTTGGGTTATCCACCTCCCCAAGAGGCGATAGCTAGGTTGACAGAAGAATTCTTCCATCGACCTAGCTCTGTCTACATAGGGATTTAGGTCATCTTAACTATGCCCATCAGGGGGTGTAGATTTTTCACA